CGCAACCAAGGTACATGCCCTTGACGAGAATCGAACCCGGGACCTTCCAGTCCGCAGGCCAACGCTCTATCCACTGAGCCAAACAGGTCTCGGCATCTTGTAAGTGTTTTAACTAGTGGGTTTATTAACATTCTAAAGCAAATGCTTGCTTCCACATGCAAAGAAAAACCACAGTACTGAATGATCTGAAAGAAAAAATCCTCACTGATATCAATCAAGATAACAGTGAGTGTAAAGGCTAAAATTTCAATTTATTGATAATGGAATCAGAAATATTTATTAACATTATCAATGAATTGAGTTAGAGAAGATACATCCAGGGCATTCTGTGGATGGTCCTACATGGTAAACCTAGAAAGGAACAAGACCTGTTCTTATATTTCTTAAATTTACTGTTATATCAACTTATGATAGCTTTTTGATGTGCTGACTCAGTTAAGCAGAACTACAGGGAAGGAAATACTCTAGTGTCTTAAGAAACATTTATCTCACTTCAAAGTGCATATTGAAGTATATAAAGAAATGAGGGCACCAAGCTTACCAAGCTTTCTTTTTTCTTTTTTTTCTTTTTTTAAACACACATACCTCTTACCTATTGATAGTTATTCAATCAAAGGTTATACTACTTGGTGCTGTGAAAAGATAGCAGGTGTGACTAAAGTCCCTTATTTTGACTGTGAGTTAAAGAAATTCTCAAGTCCTGACTTCATCAGTGAAAGTCATTTAAGGAAAGGTATAGACAATTTTTGAACAACACTCCAAACATCAAATGGGCCTGTATTGCTCCAGAAACTCCTCACTGACATTGACAAATGCTTTGTCCCGTGACCATTAGGTTCCAGCCTGCTGGTGATTTCTCTTCCTGACTTACTCTGCCACAGATCTCACACTTGCTTACCTAGCCCCTATGATCATGGAAGTCAGTTCTTTATAATAAATCTGTACATGGATCCATATTACTGGTTCTGCTTCTGGGGTTGAGCCTTGATTGACAGCACTAATAGATCCTTCTTCACTGCTCTGACAGTCTTGACCATAAATCTTGTGGTTCATTGGCAAAGAACTTTTGTCTGGGAAATATTATGCCTTGCCCAGTCTGGTTCAGTTGGTTGGGCATCATTCATGCACCAAAAGGTTTCTGATTTGATTCACAGATGTGCCCAGGTTTTTTGGTCAGTACCAAGTAGGGGGTGTGGAGGAGCTGGTCAAGAGATGTTTATCTCTCTCCCTCTCTGCCTTCCTCTCTTCCTGAAAATAAATAAAGAACATATTTTTAAAAAGAAAATATTAGATAGGCCCTCTCCAAATTTCCTTTATTTCATTTTCATATAAAAACACATAGATATAACATATCAAGAAAAATATAGCCAGTCCTTCCTCTTTAGTTACAAATTTGCTTATTCACTAAGACTTATTCATAATCCTAAAACTAATACTCATGGTGTTTTCCTAGCCATTCTTGGACTTGCACTGAGGAGAAATTTGAGTCCTGCTAATTGAATATTCCAAGCATAGTTTGAATCAGGAGAAGCTCATACAGTAGGTTTAGTTTTCATGGTAAATTATGCCAGATTTTTGGCATTTTGGTGCTGGCTGTTGGTTACATCACTGTTTAAAATTGCCCCAAGCCTTAATGCCAAAGCACTGGCTATGCTTTATGGAGATAATGTATCTGATAGATAAGCATCTTTAGGGAATGAGCTCTAGCGCTGTTGGCCATGAATTCAATGTTAATATATAAACACAATATATATTAACTATGACATCTTTAAATAGAAACACAGATAAAAAGAGTTTATGTACTAATTGATGGATGAGCATGCTATGACCAGAGGCTGGAAGGAGATTAATTTGCATTTCCACAGGGAATATTGCTTCAGTACTTGCTAATAAAGTGTTTGTGTCACTTTGTAGAACATGAATGGGATTTACCATGTGTGTAATATCTGTCACTTTAAAAAGAAAGTGATTTGTTTTTAGAATACAATGAAGATTCTATAATTATAGATAATACAAGTAATAGATTACCCAATAGAAAAATCAACAATTTTATAAAGTGCTTATTTATAGAGAAGAAAGAAAGCAAATAAACAGAAAGGTGACTCTAACAATAGGGAGAAAGAAATTCAAATCAAAAGAATTGTTGCAAACATGAGATTGACAAAACTTTTGTAAATTTGATAATAGTTCCCAAGTATTGGATAATTAGTGATTATTTTTTTTAAGTCTCAGAAAGAGAAAGTATTGTGATTTTTAGGGAGTGTTCCCTATTGGTCTATTCCAGGGAATATTTGTGATGTCCATAGATTAGACTGCAGTGAGGGGTGAGGGAGGGGGGGCTTTTTTCTGCCAAGGGCCATTTGTATATTTGTAACATTGTTTGAAGGCCATAAAAATTGTCAGCTTAAAAATTATCCTGCTGTACTTGGTCAAACATTTAAATTACTCACTCCTAGTGCCTTGGTAGGATCAGAGAGAATGCTTTTGGGGCCTTATATGAACCTAGGACAAATTTCCCTCACTTGGGATTAGAGGATCTCTTTAAGCAATGCCTACCACTCACTCAAAAAAATCAATAAGTATTATTAAATGAATCATAGGTGATTGCTTAGCATCTGTGATAGCATCTCTGATAGCATTTATGTTTTTGAATTATCATTCAGAGAGTTGTTTTTAGAAACAAAGCTGGTTTTTAACTTAATCAATGGGCCAAAATTGAGTTGTTAATAGGTCATGAACTCCTATTGTCATCTTGCTAAATACCTGAGAGTTCTAAAGAGATGGGTGTAAACCTAGCAGGTGTTCTCAGTAGTTAAAACAATGTCCCTAGGACCCAAAAGTCTCCTGTTCTATTAAGGTCAAGGGGCTTACCTCAGTTGCAGTCTGGCCCTAATTTGGGTGCATGCTGGAGGCAACCAATTAATGTGTCTCTCTCACATTAATGTATCTCTCTCTGTGTCTCTCCACTTCTATTCTCTCTAAAATTCAATGAAATAAAATATCCTCTGGTGAGGATTAACAAAAAAATAATAACAAAAGGATGTGATCTTCAAACATTCTAGTAAAAGGATCTACATGACACAAGTTAATTTTTCTTTAGAGGAGACAGACTGCACTTAAACGTGGCTGCCCTGTGCAGACCACTGCAGCCAGTGGGCTCCTCAGCCTGAGGTGTGTTTCATAGAATTCATTTTGGAAAAATTCTTGTGGAAACCATTCACAGAACACAAGGTGAGTACAAGTTATGTCAAGGAAATACCTTCTATTTAGGTGCTAAACATATTTTATCTTTAATCTACTTTAATTTATACAATTTTAACTCATATTCTTACTAAGTACTTTTATGAATCACCAAGGTATAATCTGCTATTTGGTATATTTTGTGGGTTTTTATGTATTTTTATGCCTCAGAAGGTAGTTGTCAAATAACATGTAATTGTATAGCAAAGTATCTAAAAGATCCAGTGTTTGGTGCTATAGGTATTGCTGAGTAGCGAACAAATGGACTTCATATTATAATAATATATATTTATACAGATGCATATGTGTAATGAGAGTATTAGAAATATCTTATTGTTGAAAACTATAATAATGTCCCTTCATAATTTTTAACTTTTATACCTGACTTAAAGTTATTAAGAAAATGACTAAAGATACAGATCTAAGGGAAATGAGAAGGCTCAGTGAAATACTTATTTTAGACATCAGACCACAATTGTTTGACCAGTTAAATGTATTTCAAGGTATAATATTCCATATGATGCTTGTTGTCATTTCACTTTAGGCTTACATTTCCTTAAGTATGAAAAAGTTCCTGTAAACTTTGACTGGACTCTAAATTTAATTGACAGTTCTGATCTTTTTACTTTTTTCCTTATTCAGAAATGAAAAGCATTGTAGGAAGTTTGGCTATGTGGATAGAGTGTTGGCCTGTGGACAGAAGGGTCCTGGGTTTGATTCTGGTTAAGGGCATGTACCTCAGTTGCAGGCTCCATCCCTGGCCCTGTTCTAGGCATGTTCATGGGTTTCTTTGAGTGTCTCAACCCCTCAATTCCTCTCTCTGAAAATCAATGGAAAAATATCCTGGAGTGAGGATTAAGGAAACAAAACAAAATAAAAGATGCTTCCAAGATAAAAAAGGAAATGAAAAGTCAACTCCTAGTACTGTGAAAGTAAAGTTTGTACATGCAAATGCTTAAGTATATTTTAATTTAAAAATAATCTACTTTTTATTTAAAAAAACAAGAAAAATGTTTACTTAAACTTTTAGCCTATATTTTTATACCAGAGCATTATAGAGAACAATACTTACAGAACATTCACTTAATTGTTGTAATGATAATATACTTATATTTTTAAAATATGTCAGTTCAGAGTTTGTATAAACAGAAGTTAATTTAATCCTCAAGAATTCAGAAAAGGCCTAATTTCTTTCATATTTTTTTTTCCTGATGAATCTCAATTGGTTCAATTTGTGTTTGTTTATTTTCCTTATTTGTTTGTTTTAAAGGAGAGAGCTAGGTTTCCTTGACCCTCTCTCTGAAATCATTTCATAGAACCATTCTGGCCATCTTCCTCTCAGATTTATTGGCTAAATACAATAGATTCGTGGGGTAAATCTCACACTTCCATACTCACTAACTAGTTATTGAAAAGAAGAATGGGGACAATTCTGATTGATTTAGAACAACTAAGACCAGTAATAAAATGCTATATCCCACATTCTGGAAATGGATACTTGCACACATTTGTATTTGGATAAGGACTAGGAACTGAATGTGTAGGATTATGTAAGCCATCTAGTGAGAACCATGTCTGCGGGTAAAGCCCAAGGACACTTTCTGGGCTCCAGGTTTTCATCTGTGTCATAGCATAAATAGGTTATCTTGTTTAAGTGAGTATTGCAAAGAGAAAAAATATATAGACATCACTACCCTCATATAACTGTTCAGAAGCCTCTCATCAACCCAGGTCCAGAAATGACCTGTTGCTAATTCTTCCCAGAAACATGGATCGCATCTTGCAAGTCTTCCAGAAAGAACTCATCTGCTCCATCTGCAGGAACTACTTCATAGACCCCATCACCATTAACTGTGGGCATAGCTTTTGCAGGCCCTGTTTCAACCTCAACTGGCCAAACAGGTCAGTTCTTGCTTACTGCTCTGAATGCAGGAAAGCAATTCAGAAAAGAGAGTTTCATACAAATGTCACTCTCAAGGAAATGGTTCTCATTGTCAGACAAGCCAGCCTGTGGCAATTCCTGCGCTCTAGGAACAATAGGTGTAGGATACACATGGAGGCAAGGCAGATCTTCTGTGAGGACCAGAGGAGCCTGTTCTGTTTGCACTGCTCTACCTCCCAGCAGCATGGGGCTCACAGACATGGCTCAGTAGAAGAGGCGGCTGAGCAACTCAGGGTAAGTGATGCCCTTTTGGACCCACTTCTGTAAAGTGAGTGTGAAATTCCTGTGGGTCTGTTTCCTTGGGGATGGGATTACTCCAGGTGTTCCTTTCAGAATCTCTGCCCTGGAATTCCTTAGTGTGAAGTCTCCCAGATTTGACAAATATGTGATATAAACAAGGCAACTCTTTGATTTTCTTGTTTTCAGTGGTACTGATCTATCACTCATTCTGGGGACCCTCCCTCTTTGAGTACTAAATGTTACATTCTCCTCTTTATCAGCTCTAATTGTGGTCCTTTTGCAGGAGAAACTCCTCAAGACAATGTGTTCTTTATGGGAAAAATATTATGAAAATGACAGAAATCTGAAAGTAGAAACTATCACATACAGAACTTGGGAGGTTGGTATTTGCATTTCCCCAACCTGTAGCACAAACACGGTGTGGTTGGATGAGTGACTTTAAAATAGGAATTTCCTGACACTATAGTGTTCTTTGGGATTCAATATGGGAAGGGTGATCATTGGAAAGGACATTTTCTTTCCATAGAAATAGGAAAGGACATTTTCTTTCCATAGATAGATAGTTGGGTTCTCAGTCACTTAATGACAAAATGACAGCTGTCACATAAAGCATGCTGGTTTGCTCCCCGGATAAACAATATTTATCACTTCCTCACCAACAACCACAACAGACTGGACCATTTCACAGAGTGCCATATGTGGAGGAAGGGGGTAAATAATAGGGTATAGGAGACATTTGGCAGCCATTGAAAATTCAGTTGAAGGATCTGAGGCATTATAAACATTCATGTAAACGTTGTTGGGAAAGTAGTTTTTGAAAACAGATGGAAAATTTCAGGAAGAATGAACAATGTCACCAATCCAGGGAAGCCCTGAACTTAACCCAAGTAATTAATCTTGAAGCTATATATATATATATATATATATATATACATATATATATGTATATATATATACACATACATACACATATACATATATACATATATACATACACATATACATACATATATATATATATATATATATATATATATATATATATATATATATATATATATAAACCTAAGTGATCAAATGACCCTACGACTGATTGACTGGTCATTATGATATGATCTAATCACTAAGGCTCAGATTGTCAACACAGGAGCTGCCCCCTGGTGTGGAGTATGCTCCTACAGTCATTCTCCTGCCCCCTGGTGTGGAGTATGCTCCTACAGTCATTCTCCTGCCCCCTGGTGTGGAGTATGCTCCCACAGCCATCATCCTGTGGCCTACCAACCTCCTGTGGTTCATCCTGCTGGCTGGCCGGCTGGCCTACCTGATCAGGGAGAAGGTCAGCAGTCAATCTCCCATGGCACCTCCCTCTGGCTTGCCAGCCAGCCTCCTGTGGTTTCTCCCCCAGCCAGCAGGCTAACTCCCTATGGTCCCTATCCCTAGCTGGCCAAACACCTGTGGTTTCTTACCCTGGCTGGGCAGCCAGTCTTCAATTGGCCCTAATGCAGGGGCAGCCGGCTAACCTTCCACAGTCTCTTCAACCTGAAAGCAAGCTCCCCTATTTGGCTTAGATCACCAACCAGGCCAAGGAACCCCACCTGTGCACAATTTGTACACCGGCCCTATTGTACAATAATATATAATGTCCGAGGAGAAAAGTGACAAATGATGAGGAATACATATAAATATGTCAAATATAGACCCTGGCATCTAAATAAAAGGAGATGTTTCAACACTTTTGGGGAATTTAAGAATAATGGATTTCCTGAATTTAAATGTTTATCTTGAAGGTGTGATATTTAATATGAATTTACTCAACACATATTTCATGACCACTTTGTATCAAAATTGATCTAGAAAAATACAGCAGTAAGCAAAGTAGAAATTATCCTTGCCCTGATAAAGCTTACACTATAAATCAAAGAGTGAATAGTCAACATACATACAAGTATAACATATGATAAGTGATAAGTTCTTTGTAGAATAATAACACAGTAAGTAGAAAGAGGAGTATGGGATGGTAGGGACTGCTCATGTGGGTTTGAGTTCTAAATAGAATGGACCATCAGAGAAGACCTCACTGAAAAATTCATCTTATAAAAAGATCTCTGAAGAGGAAGGAAACCACAGGGTATATAGAGAGAGCATTCTAGATGGAGAAAATGGCACATGCAAAGGTATTTCAGGCAGACATATTGGAACAGTTGAAAAGCCAGAAAGATCTGAGAGAATATTAGAGTGAATTAAGAAGAGAATGAAAGGAAATAAAATCGGAAATAATGGGAGTCAAATTGTCAATGAAACCTCCTCAGGATAGGATTTAGCTGGTTGAAATGCAAGGGGATGAATATATCAGTCTGAGGTCACAGCATTAAGTACCGTATTTTTCGGACCATAAGACGCACTTTTTTCCCCCCAGAAGTGAGGGGGAAAAGTCCCTGCGTCTTATGGTCCAAATATAGCCTACGTAATCTGATTCAAATTTCAGAAACTGAGCTAAACTGAGGATCCCTAATCTAATTAATATAAATCTAAATTGCATGTTTTATGGATAAGTTCTGTTGCCTTCTTACATATATTGGCTGGGAGATAGAAATCACACATTTGCTTTTCTATGTGGTTATCTTATCAAAGTCTTCATTATGAATGAAGAGGATATAATTGGTTATTTAAAAATATATGGAAATGATGTATGAGAACATGTGGATTCTGAGCCTAGGCAAGACTGAGGGTTAAAGGTTAAATATAATTGATCTATATAAGGCAAAGAAATATGAATGAGATTCAGTAGAGATGAATGACAGGGTTCATGTTTTGACTAACTCCTTGTCTTTGCAGGTTTATGTGACCTCAAAGGGTGAAGCAATAAGAGCTGAATATGATCAGTTGCCTCCATTTCTCTATCTGAATGAGCATCATCATTTAGAGAGACTGCAAAGAGAAGGCAAGGAGATTTTTGACCAACTCAGGGACAGTGTAGCCAGGATGGCAAACAAGAGGGAGCTTTTAAGAGTAATGTATACAGAGCTGAAGGAAATGTGCCATAAACCTGATGTAGAGCTGCTCCTGGTAAGAACTCAGAAGTGGGGTGTTGAATATTCATGTGCACTTGCATTCCTTTAGTGAAAATCCATCTCCTCTTTTATGGCATTTGTGTCCAACAACCTATTTCCATAACCTCAGTTACTTTGTTGGGAGAGTATTGCTCCTCCAAGGAACCCCACAAACTAAATATCCCTCCTACATTACCCATAAGAAACAAAACTCTGTGAGATGGTAAAAGAATCCTGAGTTTGATTCCCCCTCTAAAAGTCCATGACATATTTTGGCTTTGTGAAAGGCACAAAATGGTAGAGGGGTTATTGATATTGAGGCTAATTAGAGACATGGCAATATGGGGAGATTTGGGGATCTACACTTAACATTGCTGTCATTTTTGGGTGTACCCACATTGGAAATAGAAAAGTTGCTGGATACTTAATCGTGGTTACAGCAGCATACAGGGACTGCCCAGCCCTCTTCCCCATTCATTGGCCCATGGAAAGTCTCCAGTAATCAGTCTCCAGCAGAACATTAGTTTTATGACAATATGATAAACTGGGGAGAGGAAGTAGAAAGTAGGTATGTTTACCATGAAGAAACAGAGTAGGGAAACATCAAAATTGCTCACCAGAGTTCTGGAGAGACTGAGCAGAAAGTAAATAAGATAATGAGCAAAAAATAAAATCAGAGAAAAAAAACTAAATGAAAAAAAAAAAACATCTCCCATGGACCTAGTGGAATAGGCTTTGGTAAAAAGCACTCAACCTTTCTATTTATCTCCACAGGATTTTGGAGACATATTGAACAGGTGAGTCTGTACATTGATACCAGCTGATGCTCTTTCAGAGTTTTCATGGAAAACAGGGCAGATATGCTAATGTGAAGACAGCTAACTTATTGGGATCTTGATTGAATTTTTTTCCTGTATCTATTTTCTCTTTTCCAACTCTGTGTATCTTTTGATTGCCATATTCAGTGATTTAATTTGGCAGTTTCATAGGATAAATTGCAATAATAATAATAATAATAATAATAATAGTAATAATAATAAAACAAACAAACAAACAAAAACACCAAAAAATTGACTAAAGGAAATGCCCTCATCCCAATTTTCTTTTTAGTTCTCAAAATTCTACATATATGAAGGAGAAGCTGCTAAGTTTTCTGAGTGATGAGAAAGTCAAATACCTTAGAGGCAGAGCTAGTGGAATCTGGGGTGAGAGGTCGCACATGTGTCAAACACAAGGCCCGCGGGCCAAATCCGTCCCGCCAGGCCTTGCAATGTGGCCCGCACCGCGGTGTCACCACTGCACTCCGCTGCGTTTCCATCACAATGACAGTTTATGACTGTTCAGTAAACCATTCGGCCCGAGATTTAGGCTGGATTTTAGATTTTGGCCCCTTCTCTGATTGAGTTTGACACCCCTAGGAAATGCCCAGCAGTGAGAAAGCCCTGGTGATTTGTTGATCTACTCATAGCAGTTGACATTCCTAAAAAACAGATGAAACAATTTCTCTAAATATAAGAATTATGCAGGGCCCCTCCAGGAAGCAGATCCCCCTGCCTGGGAAAAGTTTCACAGCCTCTATGTTGAGAGTGTGCTCTAGGCAAACTAGTCTTCAAGAACCCCATCATTTCCAGAGGGGGAGCATTTCTGTGGAATCCAGAATTTCCTTCTTGAATATCCTCAAGAACAAAAGAAATTGAGGATCTTTACAAATTTTTGGACAAAATAAGAAAGGGTTAGACTGAATTCTAGTTCAAATGAACTTTCCATTAGACTTGAAAATTAAGGAACTATATAGAAGAATGATTTGGCAAAGTGATACTTTTGGGTTTTCAAATTTATGGATTTAAATAATTCTACTGAAGTATCTTATACATGAAAATAGTGGGTTTTTTGTTGACTGTAAACACTGTAATTTCCTCTTCCTTCTTGCAGGAGTGAGGCAGTGTGTGTGTACATGCCCCAGCCTGTGAAAGCAGAGCTCACTGCAGTGACCATCCCAGGGATGATGACAAGGTTCAACTTGTTCAAAGGTAAGTGCAGGCCCATGTATCCTGTGTTGTTAGGACCATACAGATAATCTGCCCTCTTCTATAAGTGTGTCACTCTTTGCAGACATAAGTGAATCATTTAACTGTATAATATATCAGTAAGAGGACATGTCTTTTCATTTATAATACCAAGAGTGAAAGGTAGTGAAAAACAGAAATGATTCAGATTCATAAATAGTGAGTTTCCTATAGGTAAAGGAATGATATAAAAAATGAGCAGTTGAGTAAAAATGTTCAGATTTATGGTTAATTATCCAATTTTATGTACAAAATTGTACATTTTACTCAGTATACTTTTCAAATGCTAAGCACTTTTGTGTGATATATTAAATACTGGATCTTATTTGGTTTCCTTGTATTTTTATTTACAATGGTCATGTAATGTAAAAAATTGAATTAATATGTAGGAGCTAATAGAAAAAATATTTTTATAAACAACAAAGTAAAAACACACCAAAATTCAGTTTACTCATAACCTAAAGAGGTACATGTTAAATCTCAAAATGCTGACAGCCCAGAGCCAGGATAGAGGACAGAGGGACTGGTGAAGGGGTTTGCAAACACAATTTTAACAGACTATTAAAATGGACATAAATTGGATCTCATTAAATTATCTAGAGAAATGCTTGACTCCTGGAAAATCTTCATTTCCCTTCCAAAATAATGATGTGATTATTTAGAAGAAATGTTCTTCTGATTCTAATTTTTTACAATGGAACACAATTCAAAGAATATTATGCATTGGCCATTTTGCTATGAAAAGTGAACTTGGTACATGAGTCTTTTTTTTCTTAATCCTCACCCAAGGAGATATATACAACCTTATTTTTTATTGATTGAAGTGAGTCAGGGAGAGGAAGGCTGAGATAGAAACATCAGTGATGACAGAGAATCATTGATGAGCTACCTCCTGCATTTCCCCGCTGGGGATCAAGTCCACATCCAGGCATGTGCCCTGAGCAGCAATAGAACCTTGACCTCCTGGTTCATATGTCAACACGCAAACACTGAGCCACAAGGGGAGAAAGAGCAATGGGGGGAGAAGGAGAGAGAATAAGAGAGAGGTATTCCAAATACCCAGACAGATGCAGGTGCAGGGTATGGAACCTACAACCCAGGATGCACCCTTGACTGGAATCAAACCCAATTACCTGAATTGCCTGAGCCAACCCTCTGCCCACGGTCACACTGGCTAGGGTGACATGAATCTTATATTTGACTCTAAACATTTAAATTTCAAAAAAATGTTCAAATGTCTGTGATTAGGCATCTGTTTGCTGCACATGTATTGGTCATTTCTTTATTAGAGGTGATAACCAACAATGCTCTTGTTGTTTTGATCTCATAATAAAGTAACATCTTGGAAGAATGATGTTTTCATCGGTACTTCTTTTTGCAATGTGTCCACCCAATTTTTTTTTTCTTTTTGCAGTGGATACCTCTATGATTTTTGGAAGACCTCACAGTCATGTCTTCCTACAGGGAGATTTGATTAGCCTGAGTGTTGGATGTATGATTCAAGGTGAACCATGTCCCTTTCCACAATATGAGTGTTTTATGTACTGGAATACTCAGACTTTTACTACTGGGAGACATTACTGGGAGATATATGTGGGAGACATTTGGAATTGGGCTTTAGGAGTCACTTGTGATGATTGGATATTGATGAATAAAAATCTCCATAAGGCATACTATCTTCTTGGCTGTGTTAAAACCAACATTCACCACAATGTCTTCACCACCAACCCACTTGTACTGCAGTATGTGCCCAAAACTATTGGCCTAGTAGGGGTATTCCTGGATTATGAAGGTGGAAGTGTGACCTTTGTAAATGTAGCACAAAATTCCCTTATATGTAGAATTTCCTATTGCTCTTTTTCTCTCCGTCTCAGGCCTTACTTTTGCTGTAGTCACTTCTGACTAGAACTATATTAGGAATCTCTCTATATCCTGGGGAACACCTATATCTAAAAAAGCCCTATTTACTTGTGCCCTATCAAATACGATAAATATGTTATACATTTTTGTTTTTCATTTCCTTGTTGTCTTGTATATCTACTTACTGTATTATTAAATATGATAACCTTCAAAACATATGTATTGGTCTGTGCTTTACTCAGTTTAGGAAAATCATCACCCATGATGCATGGTGTAGAAGAGGTTTACTCTTTTTTGCTATTTTTGTGAACTGTTATGAAGAAGTATAATTAGAGATGACAAGGGTGTCTGGAAAAGTAAAATTCAGTGCAAGGGAGCTGGCATCATTCATTCTCTTCCCAAGCAGACATGGTTGTAGAGACACAATGGCAAAAACATAAAACACACACATTCACATACACAGGAACACTAATGGCAATGCAGAAATTATTTTCTAATTTATCCTCAGCTAACTCTATTCCACATGTTCTCTCAGTTTAATAATCCATAGTTTGAAGTAATGTTACTTAATAACCTGTGCTGTGCATTCCTTTGTAATTCTCACCACAGTGACGCATACTTCAGTGTTATTCATATTCTGTTCTAGACAGAAATTCATAGGATGTTCAGACCAGTACTCTCCTCATCTTCCCTAATATCTCTGTGTAGAGCTACATTTATTCATACACTACTAGAGGCTCAGTGCATGAAAATTCATGCAATGAAGGGGGCTTCCTCAGCCTGGCCTGCCTCCTCTCATAGTTGGGAAGCCCTCAGTGGCAGGAGTTGACCTGGTGATGAGGGGAAGGCAATGCCCCTATCATATCTCTGCTGCTGCCACTGCTGGCAGCACATGCTTTGGCCAATTCTGGTTACCTGAGGCTTGCCTGTTCCTTAGGCTGGCTCTGGGCACCTAGGTGGGTGAGGGGACCAGGGGACTCTGGAAGCAGGCTCAGAGCAGCTGGGGGATATGGGGTGGTCCCAGCTGTGCCACACCCTTGCTGCCCTAGCAGGGCTGAGAGGACTAGGTGCCATCTTGTGGATGTGGGCTTTGCCATCTCTGAGGGTGTGACAATCAATTAGCATATTCACTCCTTATTGGCTGTGGGTGCTGCCATCCTTGTGAGGGAATGATGGTCAATTAGCATATTCCCACTTTATTAGATAGGATACTGTCTATATGTTAAGTACCTAATGTTATATCATCATCTTCATATCTCAATATCACTCCCTGGCTTTCACTCTATTAATCTAGCTGTGAAGCCCTGTGTCATTTCCCCACACCTATCATTCAATTCACCCTCTCTGCAGCTGTTGATTAAACTCTTGAACAAATATGTAGTTTTCATTATTGCATTTTAAAATTTATATAAATTCTATTTTTCTTCAATATGATGGAAACCATCTGCTGAATTTGTTAGTTGCATGAAGACTCAAATTCAAAATAAAATTGTATTTATATAAGTTGAACATCGGGACTCTAGTCATAGTATAATGTTAGAGAGTCCACTTTCACTTAATTAATTATATGTAATGTATTTTTAATTATGTGCTAATGTAACTAAGGTTTTTTTTACATTCTTAACTAAACATTATTCATCAACCATTTCATTGAGGATATGCTGAGGCTCTTCTCTTACATTTGAAATACTAGCACGGGGAAGAATACATGGGTGTTTATAAATAAAAAGCTTTTTACCATATTTTAATTTTAATAGCTAGTGGTGGTTTTTACAGGATTCTATTATGACTAGAATTTTTTTTTAATTTAACATTTTATATTGCTTAATTTATAATGTATAAACTGTGCTTCTATGAAAATACACACAAATGAACAGTATACACTAAACTTTCTCATCACTGGTGACCAAAACATGAGTTAGATAACCAAGTTCTTATGACAAAGTCATTAATCTATAAAACGTACTGTGGTACTTTTAGTGTCATTAAATTTCTAAATGGAGTAATTTTATTGTGCAAAAACAAAATAATAAAAATAAGTGAAAGTGTGCAAATCAGTATCAGTTTTCAACTAAAAGTTGATTTTTGTATTATCTTTTTCAGTAATAAGGTCCATCTCTGGCTAGGGCAATGAAACCCTTAGCTACCACCCAGTAGCAGGTGACAGTGCTGAGAAGAAAGGGACACAAACCCGGGTTGACCCCTGGAGAATTTCCTGTGGTGGTTCTGCAGCCAGGAGCCATAGCCCCATGCCACCCAGAGACAGGAGTGGGAGGTGCCCAGCTGTTTGATGCTGGCTCCTCCCTCTGCAGAACCCAGCAAAGGAACCTGAGCTTCATTTCTCTGTGGAGCTGCTGGTAGAGCTGTGGTGTGTAGGGTATAGGGGTTACCCTCAGGACAATCTGGTTGAAATTCCACCAGCTCCTCTGACCCCAACCACCCCAACCACCAAGAGTTTTGGTCCTTTTTCTAATCCTGGTTCCTGCCTGTCCCATGCTGCTGGGGGGATCCATTTCTTCCACTGTTGCTGCCTGTGGGCATGCTGTCCTGCTCATTGGTCTCTTCTGGTCACTATAACTACAACCCCGATTCGATGGCCCTTATTTTATAAGGACACTGTTCCTTATAGATAAAAGGAATGACAGATGCCTATACATGGAATTGCCCTTGCTGTTGATCCTGGGGAGCTGCAGGAGCCCTGTAAGCCCTCTGCCCTCTTCTTTAGGTCTGAGCTGTGTCCACCTCACCGCACTTCTCAATCAATGGGTGTTTAGGAAACTTGCTCAGAGGCCCCAGTCAGCCAGCCTGTGCCCAGCCAGCTCAGCCAGGTTCTGTGAGCCTGAGAGAGGGCAGTGAAGGACTGAAAATGACAGAATGAAAGCTGGGTCTGGGTGGGACACTCTTCTCTCTCATGGAGAGCTAGCGACAGCACCACAGCCTGTTAGCCGAGTCATTATTTTATAGCCATATTCCGTGAGGCAAAGGAAGAGCATGGTTACAATGTTCTTATGGGTTTCAAATCTACTCAATTACATGAACCTGAACTTCATCAAGCCCACATCACTCAGACACCTGGGGCCACATGTTTGGACCATTGGTTCAAGCTTACAACTCTAGCTGTTGGCTCTAATTGTGCTGGGAGGGCTTTGCCCTCCAAGCTGGGACTTGCCTGTGGCCATGAGAGGACTGTGCCCCCTCATCAGTCTCAGGATTGCACCTGTCCAAACACTGTAGTCACTCTCCACACCAGCCAGCACAGGACCATCGCCATCTGTATCAGGACAGCCCAATGGTAACCTCAAAACCTTATATCCATATATTATCTAACCCAGTGGTCTGCAAACTGTGACTCTCGAACCATATGCGGCTCATTGGACCCTTGAGTTTTTAGCAAAGGCCAGCTTAGGAGTACCCTAATTACGTTAATGACAATGCACCTACCTATATATTTAAGTTTAAAAAATTAGGCTCTCAAAAGAAATTTCAACCTTTGTACTATTAATATTTGGCTCTGTTGCCTAATGAGTTTGCCAACCACTGATCTAACCCAACAACATGGTCTCTAGCAATCTTTCCAATAGAATTTTTCACAAACAAGGATAGTCACAAAAGAATGCATTTGGTATCTTTTTTTTTTTTCCCCAGTAGCTGAATAAATAAGTGAGAAATGAATTCTGGGGTATCATTTCATAAAACATACCACATATTATTAATCCAAAATATGAATTCTAGTATATTCTGTAATTACTGTTTTAGTAATTACTGACCAGGACTTGAACTGTGACCACTGAGCCCTTAGGTTGATTTTAAACTGAAGAGCCCTAACCTGTTTATCTTCGTAACTGCTGCCTGAGGGGCAGGCTGCTAATAAAACAACACCTATGGGCCCTCTGCAAACCAATAGACCCTGTAGTGGGGCAGTGGTAGGCTATTATAGCTATAGTAGATCCCCGACACAACTCAGCATATGCATCTGAGGCCTGGTTTATTTATGTGTGACAGCTGCTATTTTGTAAAATACAGAAAATTGAAAGCATAAAGTGAAGTCACATTACAGTGAACACTTGATTTTGTGGACCTTGATTTAATAGAATTAGAATTTATCTGACAATGTTTCTGGGTTCTGTGTCATTTGTGAAAATTAATACCCTGTTATTTAATATATATATATATATATATATATATATATATATATATATATATATATAATATAGATAGATAGATAGATAGATAGATAGATAGATAGATTTTTAAGAGAGAGAGGTAGAGATGAGAATCATGGATTGGCTGCCTTCTGCATACCTTGAACTGTGAATTGAGCTTGAACCCAGTGCTAAGCCACATCCCTGTTGTGTGCATTTGTTTACTCATGGTGACGACGATTACTCACATTTTCTAGACTTCTTCAGTATAAATTTAAAATTACTGTAATACACATAGAAAACTTTTTTCTGAAATAAAATTTTTCATATATAGTTTTTTTTAAATTTATTTTCCTTTTTTAAATTCTCACTTGAGGATATTATTCCATTGATTTTTAGAGAGAGTGGAAGAGAGAGAAAAAGACAGAGAAACATAGATGTCAGAGAAGCATATTGTTTGGTTGCCTCCTGCAAGCCCTAGGACCATGGCCCTGGCCTGGGAAAAGCCTGCAACCAATGTAAATGCCCTTGACCTGAATGAAAAGCAGGACCCTTTGGTACATAGGCCAACACTCTATTCACTGGGCCAGTACAGCTAGGTCAGTATAATTAATTTTAATTACACAAACTAGCTGACATAGGTGAAAACAGGTAAGTTAAAAGAACTTTTATTTATAGCTTACAAACAGATAAAGTAGATTATTTCATCAACTTGTGGCCTAGGGCATGAAATTTGTGCATGGGATGGGGAGTTCCCTCAGCTTGGCCTGCACCCTCTTACAATCTAGAACCTCTGAATCCTAACAATTCACCTGCCTGCCTGCTTGAACGCCCCTAAATGCCTTCCCCTGCTGGCCTGGTCGTCCCCAACTGCCCTTTCCTCCCAGGCTGATCTCACCC